AGACTGGTTTGTTCTAAGCAATTTTAGCATCTGACTTTTAATCGGTAACTTACTGATATTTCTTTCCTATGCCTTTACTAGTACAGTAGATTTGTTAGCTTGAAGCATGTAATACACTTAAGCAACTAGCACTAATAAGTGCCTCAATGCCCCATATAGTGAATTGATAACTGAATTGTTAGCTATCTGCAAATTTTTCTTAAATTAGTGGTATTAAATACATTATTCCTCATAACCATATCCTTTTCTCTGCTCGCATGAGATTTGTTTTTCTTAGTAGACTGGTTTGTTCTAAGCAATTTTAGTGTCTGATTTTTTAATCAGTAACTTACTGATATTTTTTCCCTATGCCTTTACTAATGCAGTAGATTTGTTACCCTGAAGCATGTAATACACTTGAGCAACTAGCACTAATAAATGCCTCAATGCCACATATAGTGAATTGATAACTGAATTGTTAGCTATCTGCACATTTTCCTTGAATTAGAGGTATTAAATACATTATTCCTCGTAACCATATCCTTTTCTCTGCTTGCATGAGATTTGTTTTTCCTAATTACCAAAAGCCATGGAATGAGTTTGAATGTGGCTTTATATGTAGTTATATGTGTGTGTGTAAGACCATATATGCTTTAGAAATAGGTTATGATATTGGACCATTTGCTAGCATCAATGGCAATGACATTATTTTGGCCCTTCAAAATTGCATGTAGACTAGACTATCCCTAAAGTTGTAGGCAGAAAAAAGGAACATACTTGTGAAATATCATGAGATTTGTTTTTCCTAATTACCAAAAGCCATGGAATGAGTTTGAATGTGGCTTTATATGTAGTTATATGTGTGTGTGTGTGTGTGTAAGACCATATATGCTTTAGAAATAGCCTATGATACTGGACCATTTGCTAGCATCAGTGGCAATGACATTATTTTGGCCCTTCAAACTTGCATGTAGACTAGACCATCCCTCAGGTTGTAGGCAGAAGAAAGGAACATACTTGTGAAATATCAATCAAATATCATTTTTTTTTTTTTAAGGTAATGGAGTCACTTCTGTCCAGTCAAACGGTGAAAGAGAGGGATCACCACATCAACAGAATGAAGCTAGAGACACTAGTTTTTCAAAGAGAGAGAAGGAAATACTGGTAGGTATTTAAGCATTTAGGTATTGTTTAACAAGGTCTCAAGTGCTTTCAGTGTGCAAATGGGAAGGAACAAGCGAAGCCTCTAGCAATGACACTGGGTGGCATTTCGTTTTCTTTGAGTCAAAGCACCTTTTGACTAGATTGTCTAGTTCATGATGTGCTCTTAAGATGACATTTGAATCCTCTGACTTTATTTCTTGTTAGAAACTGGACCTTAATCACAAATGTAGAAGATTTACTGTTTGTGTTCCCATATTTGTGTGTGATGTAATGAAAGAGAGGATGTGAGAGGGATGGGTTTTCCTGAGCAGGAGCTGTGTAAGCAAACAAGGAAATTAAGGAACGTGCTGCCACCTGATGGCTTCCTGAAGGATTTGGCCAGCCCAGAGAAAGGATCTGGATTAGGGCTGTGCCTGAATGAGTCCCTACTGTATCCCAGATACAGGCATACAAGCATCTTGGAGTCCAGAGGGGGAGGAAAAAAAAAGATTAAGGAGTTGGATGTGGGGATTAGATAAAACCTACTGGTCTCTGGAGCTCTGGGTCTTCAGATTTAGTGGCTTGGATGTGGTATCGGATTTGAGCTGTGTATGCTCAAATGAAGTTGCATTTGGGCAGCAAGTGCAGATTTTCATCGGATGGAATGTGCTCCAGCTGCAGGGCTGAGGAAGGGGAATGTTCTTCCTTCCCTGGAGCCCCCGTCCCCACAGCATGTGTTGGAGCGAGAGGTGGTGCAGTGTGACAACTCCTGGCTCTCCCAAGGGACTGTCTCCATCGGAGCCACCAGTGACTCGCACAGGGGTCACGCTGCTACTGCTGTGACACAGAGCTGGAGTGGGAACGTGGGACAGAAGAGAGGAGGAATCCCATGGTTCGATCAGCCTAAGCGTAACCTGGCAGTGTATCCATCGGTGTCCCCTTGGAAGGCTGCTGCTAGACATGTAGCGCTTGTGAAGGAAGCGAAGAGGAAATAGGGCAAAAACGCTGTTTGTTTCATTTTGTTTTTAAGGAAGCACCAGTAATACAGGCAATCTGTTAGAGAGCATGGTTTCCTGAACTGCTTTGAACTTGGCCTTCGAAATTGCACGTTTGAGATTTCCTGTGTACTAGTAACAAGCGTTACATCAGTTGTGTCTTTTTACTCAGAGAAAACAATGATATTGGTGTTATTTATTTATTTTATTATTATCCTACCGATACAGAGCTCAGTACTGAATGACAGAGTTAAGGTCACTACTTGGAATGTTGAACAGCTGAACAGTTGCAATATTGCTTTGACTTTGTATTGCTGCAGATATTCCAATTACTTTCATGCATTTTCTTAATGCAGGAACGTGGACCAGATGATGCAGAAATTCATCTGATGATACTAGGAATCTTATTAGAGGCCTTAACCGGAGAAAATGATACGAGTAGCTTGTGGTGTGGCAATATTGAGGGCTGGTCAGGAAGCTAGTATGCAGTTGTGGAAGGGGATCAGAAGGGTGATCAGAAGGGAGCTCTCCTGCCCCGTGCTCCAAGTGGGGTTGGGCCATCAGGTCAGCCAAGGCTTTGCGGGGCAGTCGATGTGACACTGAGCACAGTGGGTGTCCCAGCAGATCCTTGGTGCCTCAGCATATAAACATGCAACACCACTCTGCTTACTGTCTAAAAAATGTGCAAGGAGGATTTTGTAAACACTTGTTACGCAAGAAAGGAAAGTACTGGCTTTTTCTTTTCTGTTGGTATAATTATAGTTGTTTGTTTACCAATTGCTTTTAACAGGAGTGTGAGAAAAGTGTGTGTGTGTTGTTATTTTATCTTTTCATTTTGCATTTTAGTTAAGCAAGTAGGGGGAGAATGTGTGCACTTGCATGGATAAGCATACGTTTTATTTTTATTTTCTAGAAACCAATTAGTAATGGCCTTCCTCCCACGCCTAAAGTACATGTGAGTATTACTGACTCATAAAAACGCATTTTGCAGCTAGAACATGTTTTGCCACTAAAGCTAAGAAAGGACATTTTTTGAATGTTTGTTGTTTGCATATAAGAAGGAATGTGTAAAAGCCAGTATCTCTTACCGGTTCAGTAACAGGCACAGGATTTCATGAGCTTCCCCTTTTTTTATGTGTTCTCGGAAGATTTTGTTCACCTCGTAATATACTTGCTTAATACTTACTAGTCAATCTTTCTCTGTAGGATCTGGGGATCTTATACCTCAGGAATTGCAAATAGACCTCAGGAATGCTGAGTTTGTAGAATTCAGGTCTAGGTTGAAAAACATCTGAATATGGGACTCTTAAGTGCCTTAGGGCTGAGAATAACTATTATGGACATCTACATGCAGCTTCTTGATGTAAAATAGGCTAGAATTTCATTGCAGTATCAGTGTGGACACATCACGGTGACTTCTGCCAGCACTGCCATCAAACGAGCCAGGCACTGCCATCAAAAGAGCCAGGCTCTCCCTTTTCTTGGCCGGCCAGCACTGCCATCAAACGAGCCAGGCTCTCCCTTTTCTTGGCCATTTGTCCCTCATGTTTCTCACCAGTTTTTCACTGTTTTGGATACCAAAATAAAATTCCTACAGCAGTGTGTAAGTGCAGATGATGCTGTTTCTGCTTCCTGCTTGTTTTGGAGAAGCAGAATAGGTCAGGGCAGATGTCTTGCTTCCATTCCTTGGAGTTCATGCTAAAGACTACAACACAAAGGGTTATTGAGGTCAATCCTGTTTTACTAACTAAACTCATGACCCGGGTGTGCATACCTGAGTGAAGGTGTGGCAAACATGTGCAAGTATGGCTAGCACTGAGAAAACCTGGATAGTCATGGGGAAGGCGAGGTGAGATCAGCTCAATGGCTGGAATGAGGAAAAGAAGGTTGGAGTGAGGAAACAGAGTAGTCCAAAACCAAGAACGTTTGCCACATACTGCAACTTTCACAAGAGTTGCAGCAGCATCTTGTCTCCGTGGGCTTCCTGGAGAGCACTGAAAAGGTCCGGGGAAAGGGTTTTTCTCTTTTGGTTTCCATCATGTCAAACCACTGTAGAGCTCAGCTAGGTCTCTGCCACGAGCAGTGTTTCCTCACAGTCTGCAGCATCTCTCCAGTGCTGGAAAGGAAGAGTTGTGTAGCAGCTTCCAGGAGCAGCGCAAGTATTTCCCCTTCCTTTGGGAGAGCGGTGCCTTCAGAGCAGGGCAAACGAGTGCCTCCATGTCCTGCATCCTTGGGAGGAGACTTATTAACAGCAGGGGCGGGAAAAAAAAAAAGACACGTTGTTTCCAGCCGTGGACTTCATGATCCTGATGACAGGGAGATGCCCGAGGCCCAAAGAAAGGTCTAAATTCAGCAATAACCCTTTAAAATAAAAAGTTGCAGAAGTTCTTTTCTTCTGCCAGATCTGTCAGAGGTTTCCTTTGGGAGGCACTCGGTATTGCCAATAAATTAACTGAAAGCAAATTGTAGCGAAACCAAGACTAGAATTGTAATTGCTGGATGACTTAGGTTTTTATTTAAAGCTTGTTAAATATGGCAGGAATAAAAGGTCAACTGTTGGTACTGCTTGTCTTTTAAAATCCCAAAACACAGGAGCCTTCCTCAGTTTTGTCGTGTTTGCAGGGCATACATGCCTAGGCTCTTCATTTAGGAGCTCCCAAAAAGACTAATTCTGGCACTTTTCTCAGGTTGTACAGACAAAGACAACTCTTAAAAATCCCATTTGACAGCCTATGTTTTCTGGATATGATTATTTCTGCATAATCTGAAGCTGTGTTCTTCACTGTGTCATTTTTTGTTTGTTTGCTTTTACTACTTTAAGTCAAAACCAATCCTATTGGAAATGTCACAATGTAATTTTTCCAGTGTAAGTTTTTCATTGCTTTTAGAAAAATCTGTTTTTACTTTTACAGATGGGTGCTTGCTTTTCAAAGGTTTTCAACGGCTGTCCCTTAAAAATTCATTGTGCAACATCATGGATAAATCCAGATACAAGAGGTATTATATATACTTTATCTGTTTTATCCTCTCCTGAAAACTTCAGGAATGATTAGATGAGCAAGACTGTTCCTTTCAAAATAGATTTATTTTATAGGCAGAAAGTCTTCCTTAATTATAATCCTGCTGTTTGAAGTTCAGTGGATTTTCTAATAATGTTAACATATGAGGTGTGCGTTTTTCAGCTTTGATTAAAAAGAAATTGCATATGGAATAAAAATAAGGAAACATTTTTTGGTTGATGTTCAAAACTCAATTATTGTAATCAAATGTGCCAATATTCACTGATTTTCTTTTCAAGAAATCTGCCTTCCCTGAGTTTCTGCTTGAGATTCATTCATCTCCATCATCTGCTTGATTTTTCTAAATCTTTGTGGCCGTGCAGGCTGCCGAATCTCTTTTCATATCTGCTTACATTGCAGTGCTCTACCAATAGTCCAGGGAAAGGGAAAACATGCATGTAACATTTTTGAGTCGGTCTCTCCTCCCCTCTCCCTCTTTGATTCAGAAATTGCATACTCTATAACACCTCTCTTAAATCAGGATTTCTGGATTTGTTTGTGTTTACAGATCAGTACTTGATATTTGGTGCAGAGGAAGGTATTTACACACTGAACCTCAATGAACTTCATGAAACATCAATGGAGCAGGTATACTTCTGTTGTGACGTTTTGGATAATGTTCTAAAAACAACAACAAACTCTTTTGTGCAGTCACATAGCCACTAGGTACACTGAGATGTACCTTAAATGTTTGTGTAAAGGATACCTCTCAGTTGTGTGCAATGTTTGAGTTTTTGGAAGGTCAAAGCATGGTTAATTAGGAGGTCTGCAGATATCGATGTGTTGAACTTCATCACAGTGCATTATCCAGCAGTTAAATGTTTTCCTTAATAGTATGGAATTTCCTTGTTGTATTTTGTGAGAAGATTCCCATTTTCTTTAAAGCACTGTTGCAAGATAGAATATTTACAGCAAATGTGTTAGAGCTATAAAGTAAGAAGATCCTTTATTTGCTAGGTTCAATTCTTGTGGTCTTAAAAGCAGCTTTGATGATGAGATTCAACTTACTGAATCCCAGTTAAAATTCTGTCTTTACAGAATCTCATAAATAGTAGTTCGGGGATGGAAAAATGGGGAGGGGAAAATGCCAATCGCGGCTTTTCTGTATAGTGTCTTCTCCAGCTCTTCATCTCTAAGAGACGTGTTTTCTTTCCTGCCTTCTCCCTGACTTAGGGAGCTATGCGTCTGCCGTCAGGATGGAGGAATTTGCAAGGACAGCCTTCGCACTGTAAGCTGCAGGCGCTGGGGTTTGTTCATCTTCCAGGGTCCAGCCTTCGCAGACCTGTCTGTGCTGGGCAGGCAGCCTAGCTAGCTTGCACTGAGCTCCATGTAATCCGTAATCAGCCACTGGTGCTTGTGTTCGCGAGCCTAAAGTTAGCTCAGGTACCTCTCTGCTGTACTGCAGCTGTCAAACATACCCTGAGAAACATCCCTAATAAGATAAGTCCTGTAGACCAACCGCAGTGTCTTAAGAGTGGCAGGGAGAGGAGATGCAATGAAACTCTCTCTCCTGTGTGTGCCCGTGTTTTCTCTACGTGCCGGGTTCTGCGTGTGTTGTCCTGGGAGGTTTCTGCAAGGTGTTGGAATAAGCATGCAGGTGTGAGGAGACGCGAGTAAACGGAGCTGGAATGCGCGAAGCAGGAGGGGGTGCAGGCTCCAGCAACCCCAGAGTTTGCAGTATTGCTGGTCTCTGATCCTCAAAGCCAAAGGCTTGGAGCTGCGGAGTGCTGAGGCAGCTGTAGATCCCATGTTTCACTTCCTGGTTCACCCTCTAGGCCTGGTGAAATTCACTGTAAAAGCAGAAATTGTGTCCTTGGTTCTTTTCCCACTGCATTTCACTCTTCTGTTGGGTGAAGCATGAATAGTGCAAGTTGTCGGGAGTTAGTACAGCTCTAAGGTTAATACCTTGCTCTTTTGCAGAAAAATCTTTCCCTTAATCTCCAATTCTCTTCAAATCTCTTTCTAATACATCAGCAGTGAAGGTTTTTGTGTGTTCGCTTTGGTTTTTCTTTAAGCACAAGAAATGTCCCACTGGGTCGGAGCAGTGCGCAGCCTGTCTAGCCCAACAGCCTGTTTCCAGCAGTGGCAGCAGGAGCTGCCCATGAGCCCGGCTGCTTTTGGGTGTCCGTTCTCTTGGACTCCTCCACTGTCTGCAGACATTGCCCTAGGGACGCTGGAGGATACATCCCTGCCTCGCTCCCTTCTGTGTCTATTTATGGACCTATTGTCTAATCCCTTTTGTACCTCCTGGTACTGTCCACGTCCAGGACTTCTTGTGGGGGAAGCTCTGTCTTTATCTTCTCCAGGATGTACTACCAGTTTCAGACCCTTGTTTCTCATAACTGCAGGATTTAACAAATGACAGCTCTGGTTGCTTGCTGCCTTCCTTGATCACTACTTAGGTGTAATGTGAAATCATGTGGGAGGGCTTTTCACGAGCCAATTTTAGTCCCTTCAAGTGAGTTGAGTTACGGCAGTCTTGTGAGTGCCTGAGGCTGATGGAGGATGCTTTGTCTGCTGAGGGTTGTTGTTAAGCAGCTCTCCTGTGAAGGAGAAAGGTTGGCTGTTGTAAAAGTTTTGGGCAAAAAGGTTGGCTTGATGTTTATAATGACACACTGTGGGCTAATTATAGTACACAGAGCACATGGGTATAAAATGTTCCCTTGTCTAAATGTTAATGTGTATGTAAAACATAGTTTGTGTGCCAGAGGTTTGACTCTGAATTAACTCTGGAATCCAGGTAAATACTACGTGGCTTAAGCTAATTTCTGCTTAAAAAAAGCAAGTCATTATTAGTTTTGTCCCACTGTCTGTGTAGATATTAATTCATCAACTTAATGTGATCGCGTTTTGTGTATATACATATATATAAAATGTAATTTATTTTTTTCCTTTATCAGCTATTTCCTCGACGGTGTACGTGGTTGTATGTCATGAATAATTGTTTGTTATCCATATCTGGTGAGTTACTCTGCTATCTTTGATCCATAGTGACAACATGCCTTTTGTTTGTATTTCAAGTGTGGTTTTGTTTTCTAAATTTCAGGTAAAGCTTCTCAGCTTTATTCCCATAACTTACCAGGACTCTTTGATTATGCAAGGCAAATGCAAAAGTTACCTGTTGCTATTCCAGCACACAAACTCCCTGACAGAATACTTCCCAGGTAAATACACATTAATCACATAGATTGGCTTGATTTCAAGAATTCAGTTGCTTGTGAAACTTTGGGAATCTCAAATAATTTGGAGCTAAGTTGACAGATTGGCATGAATAATTCATACAGGCATCAATCGGAGTGCATACACCTAGATTTACATGAATGGAGATGCGAATATACTCTTACTAGGGATACAGTTTTCCATGTATTTTACCTTTTTTGTCAGGTATCGCCTAGTACAGCAAGTCCTGGTTGTATTTGTTGTGAATCAAGGTCTGGGATCAGGGTTGTACTTGTGATGTATCAAGCAGGTGGAAACGGTGATCTGACATTAGCTTGCTTGTGCTCTGGACACTGTGCTTCTCCTCTTCCATTTTAACGTGGCAGGGGGGGAAAGGCAGAGGATATCATAATCATTTAGGAAACGATGGGTGTTTTGGAGAGGCAAAACTACTTTTCTCCAAAACGGCCAAGACGAGTAAGACTGCCCTCATGGCAGAGGGGTCAAGTTGATGAGTCACTTGGAAAGTTAGGAATACTAGACCTGGAACACACATTTAATGCTCGGCATTGGCACATCATTCCTGTGAGGCACAGGGGAAAGGGTAGGCTTGATTAAAGCAGCACAGAGAGCTGCTGTAACGGACTACACGTAGGGTCCCCCTGTGCCTACAGCAGACTGCAGTACACACAGTCCCACCAAGCCGTATGCGCCCAAGGGGCACACACACACCCTGGCGCTGGGCATGGGGCTAGCTACCAAACAAGCCCAGGGAACCCACCGTGCCTAAGCTGAGGAATGAGTAGCATGAACATAGTTTGCAGAGAAACTCTTGATTCCTAAGGAGCGTTGTAAATTGCAATAATCTTTCATATGACAGGCTTTTCGCCTAGGAGATTGGATCATAGCAAACCTGCTTCTTAGCTGCCTGTAGTGCTGCTAGCAGGCTAGTGTTTAATGATCAGATTCAGGAAAGGCTCCTGTTCAGTCCTCTGCAAACTTAATGGTGCAACGCTGGCCCCAAATTGTGTTCTTCCTAGAAGCTAAACTCTAATCATCTAAGAAAGCAGCAATTTGTGCTTTGCTTTCTTGTGTTCCGTGTGCTTGCACCACCTTTCTGTTCTTCTCTCCTCCAAACCAACTCGGGCTGAGTCCCTTTGGCTTGAGGGCCCTATCATCAGTGGGCTGATAACCATAATTATCACGAGGGCCAGGTGAGGAAGAGCCTCGGACTGCGTTCCGCCTGCAGCGATGCCTCCGCTGTGTTCCAGAGGGCTCAGGAATTCTGTCCAGTCCTGTCGCGTCCCAATGGGAATGCAGCACAACCTGAATGTGGGAGCCATCCAAGGCAGAACGCCTTCCCACAGCTATTCCAGCCTGCTGCCTTTCTCTGGCTCTGGGGCATCAGGGTGACACTAGCCAGGCAGCCTGCCAGTGCCACAGGTTGAAGGACGCAGATCGGGTAATAATTTCTTTCCTCCCAGGGCATAAAGCACATTCTGTGACAGGGTCCTGGACACCAAAGTACAGCCTGAAAAATGTAGCTAAATGAAAGTGTCTGTAGAGGAAAAATGTAAAGCAAAATAGTATTCAGTGTAATAATGTGGGGTGCAGCATGTTCATCTGCAAAATGCTTGAAGCTTAGTTTATGATTCTCAGTAGACAGGCATTTAGCAGCAGAAAATAGTTCTGTGAAAAATTAGTTGGGCTTCTTTCCCTTGGACGTCCTTGAGCAGCTCTTTTCATGCCTTTTGTGACTTCTTCGAGGCCAAACTCTGTGGCCAGGACTCGTTTTTCAAACTGTTTATTCCTGTTGCTTTATCAGTCACTTATTCATAACTTTGCTTCTGTGCAAATATGTTGCAGGTTCATAACTTGGGCTGAAATGCCTGTCTCTGTCGCTTCTCTTCTTTGCAGCATCAGCCCAAATGGTTATTTTTGTCTATCGAGGCTGCTCCGTGTTGTCTGTAGCCCTTTGCTCTGCAGAGAAGTGTTCATTCAACTTCTGGCAGCTTACACCATCTTCCCTGACCTATTGCAGTTATTTTCAGGATTTCTCAGGGAGTGTTCCTTGTGCCTAATGCAAGGCCTTGCACAGCTGCTCTCCGTCTTCCTTCACACTTTTTCTTAAAACTCATACTTGCTACCTATGGAAAAAAAAGTTTCAATGCTCACACTGTTAGTTTTGGAAGACTGTGGCCCAGTTTGGCATCATTTCCTATACCCTTGGGTCTCCGTTTTTGTCTTGAGCTGTTATATCCAAGACAAGAATGGCCTTTTCTCTATCTGCAGAGCATCCGGGAGGAGAAGATGCAGCAAGTTGCAGCATGACAAAGGGGGGTTATGGGAGTATTGATAGACTGTCCAGGAATGTGTGATAAATGCATTTAATGACACAGATAGTGGGAAATGATCCTTGAAAGCCTTTTCTCTCCATTCATTCAGCTGCATAATTTAGCAGCATCTCAGTGCTGAAAGGGGGTTGCATGCATGTGCTAGGCTTGGTTTTTTAGAAGAAAGATACAGATAATTTCTATTTTTAACTTTTCAAGGGAGGGGAGGGAGTAAATAACATTTTTTTCCCGTCAAAAACTTCCTGAAAAGCAATTTTGCTCAATTGTTTCAGCTGATGGATAATCCTGTATTTATATCTTGCAGGAAGTTTGCAGTGTCTACAAAAATTCCTGACACTAAGTGGTGTCAGAAGTGTTGTGTTGGTAAGTAAAGATCTGCAGAATCAACACTAATAAACAATTCTGATAGTGGCAGTATTAAAGCTTCTGAGTCCATTTCTAGAGGTAACAAAAGAAAAGACTTTTCTGACACTACTATGAAACTCTGCAGGTGGAGAACTGCCAATTAGTTCTTGCATTTAAGCAGTGAAAACTATCCCATTTCTCTTCTCATGCTTAAGACATTGAGAAATGTGACGAAACAAAACGTGTGTCAAATTGAATCTGGAGATCAAGAAAAGCCTGATTTCCCTGAATTTTTCCCTTTCCCTGAAGGATTGACCTGCAGCAGCAGTGCGCTTTCTAGCACGCAAGTTAAAATTAATAATATAAGACTAATAAACAAGGAGTATTTTTGATTTTGGAGGGGCAGTGTTGTCTCTGAAGGCTTTATAGTGTGTTCATATTGCCAGCTGCTGAAGAGCTGAAAGGGGAAAAAGGGGAGGGGGCAGGTAGTTTTAGGAAAAGGAGGGGAAAAAAAAAAAAAGCAGCAGAGGTAATTGCACGATCTCTTGGAAGGAAGCTTCTTGTCTCTGGAAACATTTCACCTGCTGTTCCATAATCAAGTGTTTGCTGTGAGGAGGAGTTGCATTATGCAGGAGATTGTCCGAGGCTCGGTGTTGAGTGAGCATGTCTGTAATTCATCCTGATGAGAATCCCCTAGGCACTGCTGAGCCATCGTTTTTGTTCGTTACCATTATTGTTTTTTCCTCAGCTCACCTGCTAAAACTTCCCTTTTTCTGGGATATAAATCCTTCAGGGTGTGAAGGGGAGCTGCCGATGTGCACCGTGTGCGTCCAGGCCTTGGCCTGCCTGAGACATCTAGTCACGCTGTGGATGTTAAGGGCCTGGTGGATTTGGGGGATGGAAGTTGGCTGGGCAGTGGGAGAGATCAGAGCAGAGAGGAGCTCTGGCTTTCTGGCGTGGAAGCTCATTACAAAGTCCATATGTTTTCAGATCTGCACAGGAGGCAGAAAAAGACGAGAACTTCGGGTCTTGTTTCTTCAACTCACTGGTGTTGATAATTGTATGTGGTGTCAGTTCTCTTGCTGCCTTTGGCCTTACTAAGGGTCACACAGAGCATTATTTCCTGCGTTGTGCTCTTGGCTTGATGCTGAGGGAGAAAACAGATTCATGACACGAAGCTTTGGTGTCTCAGGTGCTGGTGACTTGCTAGTGGATTTCCCTGGGAAGAGAATAGCATAAACATATTGCATTGATGTGTTGTGATAGAGGATCTTTATCTGAATTGCTTTGCTAATTCCCTAATGGCCGATGGGTTTTGATCTTTAGAGATAGCTGTGCAAGGTGTAAAGTAAGACTTCTTGTCATCTTTATCCAGTGCATGTGCTGGTCGTACTTAAGGAATGAAACCTTTTGAATGAAACACATTGCTGGGTGCTCTGGAGAATTAAGGTTGGAAAAGTGACTTTGCCATTTCTTGACCCCTCAGTGCTCAAGTTTGCACCTTTAGTGCCTTGTTCCAGTTTTCACTTGAGCTCTGATTAAACGGCACAATCCCAGAATGGTTGAGCTCAGAAGGGACCTCTGGAGATCATCCAGTCCAACCCCCTGCTCCAGCAGGGACACCCAGAGCACGGGGCACAGGGAGGCGGCATCCAGGCGGGTTGGAAGATCTGCAGAGAAGGAGCCTCCACAGCCTCCCTGGGCAGCCTGTGCCAGGGCTCTGGCACCCTCACAGGAAAAAGGTTTTTTTTTCCCTCAAATTCAGCTGGAGCTTCCTGTGTTTTAGTTTGGGGCTGTAAGCAGAAAAAGAGCAGTTGAGTGGGAGCTGAAGATTATGTCACTTTAAAATTGGATTTCTTGCTGATCTGAATGAAATTTTTCTGTATTTCTGGTTGTCAGAAATACAGAGTGTTTGGATTGCAGACCTGCAGTGACAGCGCCTGACAGGCAGCTGAGAAATTCCCAAATGACTCAGCTCCTGCTGGAGAAGAGTCAGTGTCTCACAGAAAAGGCCATTCTATAATAGCTTCTTGGGGTAATCTGGAGATGGCTTAGGCAAGCTAAAATAGACAAGGGAGATACTTTAGTAGACCTAATTTGTAGTCTATTTAGAGCAGTAAATCCCCTCTACCAATTTAAAAAACAATGCTAAACTTTATTAGAGCTTATTTGGCACTAGCTGGTATCTGTTTATGCCCTGAGGAGGGACAGCCCCTGTTTTCAACAAGCTTGCTGCCACCATAGCGAGGGTGTTGACTTTTCAGCAGCCTCCTTTTATGTAGGATCAGGGTGCGGTTTTATTTTCCAGATTTGTAAGGCATGTTAGTTGGGAAATGGTTTTGAAGTTGTATTTGCTCAGGATACTGATGTACTTTACCTCTTTTTTTTGGCAGTGAGGAATCCTTACACGGGTCACAAGTACCTTTGTGGAGCACTGCAGTCTAGCATCGTTTTGTTAGAATGGGTCGAACCAATGCAAAAATTTATGCTCATCAAGGTAATATTATGATAAAGTGAAATATTTCTCTGCTAGCTTTCACTCAGATTTATCTCGTGGTTTGTTAAGACCTAATATTAGCTATTTGTTGTGTTAGTTCTCTTGGCCTCTGTTGAATGACATTGAAAAGAGCTGTTTAAATAACTGCAATTACTTGGTCAACTTGGGAAGCGATGGCTTAGAGACTTTATAGCTAGGGAGGGCAGCGCTGGGTGTCAGATGTACTGTGTCATCCAGGCAGCCACAAGGAAGGCACATGATTAAAGGCAGATCCTGTCTCTCTTAACCACATTGACATGAAGCCTCTGTAATCTTCAGCTTGGACGTTCTACATCTATCAACTACAGCTATCAGTTATCAGCTGAAGAAGTTAAGTTAGTGTTACAAAATGTACTGGATAAAACTTACTATGTTGTTTAAATGTCTAATAGCAACCCAGACTAAGCTTTTTACCTGTTTCTCTTCTAACATTTATTTTTGTTTCTTAATCCAGCACATCGATTTTCCTGTACCTTGTCCGCTGAGGTTGTTTGAAATGCTGGTAGTCCCCGAGCAGGAGTTCCCTTTAGTTTGTGTTGGTGTCAGTAGAGGGAGAGACTTCAACCAAGTGGTGAAGTTTGAGACTGTCAACCCAAATTCTACCTCCTCATGGTTTACAGAAACAGGTTTGTGAGCCACTGTGATTGTGGTCAGAAATGTTCCTTGTTCTCTCATTATAGTGAAACGCTAGAAAGTTACGGTTTCCTTTAAGAAAACTAACAGTCATATCATTAAGGCTAAGTGATCATTATAATTTTTCAGTTTAAAGGGGACATTTGGTTGTACCTGTTGCACCTTCACTTTTTTTTTTTAATGTTTCTACTGTTGCACTGATTTGGCTTTTTAAGCTTTTGACAGTGAACAGAATTGTAGTTCCCTGGCATTTCCACAGCTCAGGTTGTACATGCCTCTCATCCCCTGAGCTGTACTGTACTTTAGCCGGCACCATAACTTTAATTTATTTAACACAATTTTAACGGCAGCGTTTGAAAATCGTCCTAGGTGCTGTTTTTCCTGTGCTGCAATAAGCCAATAACTTAAAAAAAACGATATCAACCTGTTATCAAGGTTTATTATTATGAGTGAGGAAGACAACCCCTCAACAACAGCAGAAATGGTCCTTAGGAGGAAGAGTGAATTATGTTTCTAGATTGGCACGGTCCCATTGAAAGCAAGTTTTTTTTAACCCCAGTCCTAGCTTGCAGTTGAAATGCAGTAAATGCATTTCCTGCAAGTCCTATCATGTCTACGTTAGGTGTAGAGAAAATAGTAATATGGAATCCCTTGTTGATCCATGCTGAATTTGTAAGGAGCCCTATACTGGCAGAAATGTGTGCATGGATCCAGCTGGTCTGATCCCGTGGAACTCACTAAAACGTCCAGTTTCCTTTTTTTGCTGTTAAAACTCACTTGTCAGATTTTGATACGGTACAAAGAATAGCTGGAAGAAAATCAGTGGATGGCCAATTAATGCACTTACTGCTTCAAAGGTAGTGCATTGTTCTGCCAAGCTTATACATATATTCATGCAACTAGGTTACCCGAGTCATTAAAAGCAGTACAGTGAAGAAAATCTCTTTGAACTGTATTGTCCTGTTGTCATGCTTCTTTCAATATTTTCTGCATCCGTGTGTAAATACAAGAGCAGTAATACCTTCCTGGTTCCCATGTTCTTTAATGAAGTTAATACCACATTGTGCTTTCCGAAATATTTTTAGCTGCTTAAATCATTTATACGTCCTCTTGTTGTGTCGGGGCTGTTGTTTTCTCCTATTTCTTTGGTGCCAACTTGGTTTCTTCCTGTCCCCTGCTGGCAGGATGGAAATAGAGCAAGCAAACAAAATTTCTGTGTTTTTCAATGAGGAAAATATGTACCGTGTGGTCACACATAGCTTCCATCAAATAATTGTCATACTTTTTCCTGGGTTTGAGTGTGTGTTTGTAAATGTCTGATAAAGGCATTAAAAAATTAAAGTAGTTAGGTATACTAGCAGGCCCAGACTTCACACACAGGCTTGCTTTTTCCTGTTCCTCTTGTTAGCTCCAGCCAAGGCAGTGTATTGCAGTGTGTTTGCCCAGCAGCGAATGCTCCAGCACTAGGAGTGGGTGAAGATCCCAGCTCTGGGCCTGCAGGTAGCAAACACCAATGGGAGATGGAGGGACCATCTCGGGACAAACATTCCTGCCATCCTGCCTGGGGAGTTCATTGCTTCTCAACAGGACTGCAGGTGTCATTACTTAACTGAGAGCTGCTTTTGTATTTTAGGTTACGTGCCCTAATTTCTCCTCTCTGACTTAATGACTTTCACTCATTTCTCTATGAGGGAATGCCTGTAGAAGCACTGGCATCAGTGCCAAATTAGTAAGAGCTGCGTTTTTTGTGTAATTTTAATGTTAACGGACCACAGTCACACTTCTCTTTCAAGTTGACGTGTCCACTGATCACTTGTGGTCAGATTCCTCTGTTTTCTGTGATGGAGACTGCTGCAACTATAACTCAGAAGAAAGAGAAAGTAACGCTTATTTTTAAGGGTTTGGAGAAGGAAAATTGTAAAATCTATTACCCCCTGTTGTAAAATCTGAAAATAGCAGCAAGGATTGAATAATAATACAAAAAATCCTGGCAAGATTTAGAATTAAATGCAGAACAAAAGTGGAATGAAGCAGTGTTCAGGTTTATGGTGGACAATCTCAGACACGTGTATTGTTTTGCAAAAGCATATTAAAACAGAGCAAGACATATAGTGAAAGGTCTGCAGTGTGCATGTGAGCTTGCTTTTATGGCACAGCTTAGAAAAGGCTGGATTGAGTCCATACTTCAATATTACAGCTTCAGTTTTCCTGTCACAGTGAACATGTGGGATAAGTGGGTATGCCTTTATAAGAGAAGGGAGGTGTCACTGGTAAGATGATAAGTTTCAGTAGATTGAAAAACACACTAACCCATTAAATTGTCTCAAACTCTAGAACTTCCACTTCGAATTTTGTAGTAATTTATGTTATGAACTAATGCTGTCATTTTTTTGTAGACACTACAGAGACAAGTGTTGTACATGTAACACAGCTGGAGAGAGACACCATTTTGGTGTGTTTGGATTGTAAGTTCTAGAACCAACTAAATACATATGCATGTATGTGCATATTGTCTGTCTTCAAATTAGGCCATGTGCTGAATATTAACTGTTGGTTTGATGCATCCTATTTATTGTCTAGGCTGCATAAAAATAGTGAACCTACAAGGCAGGTTAAAATCCAGCCGAAAGCTGTCATCGGAGCTCACGTTTGATTTCCAGATTGAATCGATAGGTAAGTTGGATTTCAGTCTTAATATTGACTCTCTTGATGGATTCAGTCACTTCCTATTGCAGTACAGCATTAAAGATGCCAACTGTGAAGTGTTTGATGTGTGAAACACGTTCCTCGTGCGTTTCGTTTCACTGTCAGAAATGAATGGCACTGCTCGGTGGGAGGCTGGGCACGCAGTGCAATGTACTTCCCCAAGAGCAAACAGAGCACCTTAAAAGAAGGAGCCAACACTGTGTCTGATGCCATTCTCCTTTCTCTGCTAGTCTGTCTGCAAGACAGTGTGTTGGCCTTTTGGAAACATGGAATGCAGGGAAGGAGTTTCAGATCTAATGAGGTAAGTGCTGCATTTTGCTTTGATTTCTAATATTTATATTATAACCTGGGTTTAGAATAGGTACATAAAATGCTGTGATCTGAAGGAAAAGGAAAAGAAAAAGGCATTTCAGCAACATCCTAGGGAGACCTGGAAGCTGGAGTCTCGTTATGTTTCATAAGCTACAAGTGGATTAGACGTGCTGTTCCAAAGATGAACATGTAAATGGTGAAGTATTTCTCTAGAACAGGGATGCTTTTGTTCTGAACTGCTGGCAAACTGCACAGGGTAGCCAAGCTGAGCACCATGTCCTCCTCACTCCGCGGGAGGTGATGCCCACATTGCATAGGTGGAGGGATGCAGTAGGGAGGCCAACCCAGAGGAACTGGCTGAGGCCAGGGCTGTTTTGGCTGCTAAATTCTCCACGTGGTTACAGCGAGCACTGGTCCTTCCTTGCTCTCTCCTGGGGAAACCACGTGCTGGAGCTGGTAGTAGTGGAGTGCGGGGCCTCTGAGCTCAGCTGAGCTGGTGAGTGAAGGGGAAGCTGCGCTGCGAAGCCCTCTCAGGTCTAACGTGCAAAGCAGAAAGCAGCAGTAGAATTGGTGCCGTAGCAAGTAACCAAAGCCAAGTCTTGCTTGCATTAGTCTTTGGTTTAAATTGCTTCACAGAGCATCTTCTTGTCACAGTGGCAGTCGGTGGTTGTCCCTTTTTCTCTGTCTCTTCCATGATAACTTTGTTTATGAGTCGTTTAAAGATATTTTTTTTTTAGCACCCAACTTTAACAAATTTTGCATTCTCAGGACAACAGTGTCAGACTGACCTAAAAGGATTGTTCTACAAAATTTGTGTGCAGTCCAGTGAGTCTTAAACACAGTTAAACTATTATAAATATCTATCTTATACTTCTTTTTTTTCCCCTTCTGGTGCAAACCTATGTATTCATGGAAGCTCTGTGCTTTGGATTTTAATGAATCTTAATTTGGTCGTTAAAGAACACTTACAGACTTTACCAATTAGTTAATCTGTGTTGCATCAGCTGGAGATATTGAGTTCATTATGGCTAAAAGCATTTTAAGGTACTTTACCAAGTTTAGATATTCCACTGTATTATACAGTTACACATGTATTTATTTACATGAAGCCACAGCTGACCTAATCTGCTCTTTGTGGGAAACTGGATAAGGGATTAGTCAGACTACTCCTTATTTCCAAGTGTGCAAATGCTTTTTGTGGCATCTCTGTGTATTTGATCACTGGACGCAATTGTCCTTCTCTCGGGAATGCTTACGGTGATGATAAGCTGCAATACCCCTGCTCCTAGCACAGACCCCTAAGGAGGAGGAGATGATTCTCAGTGTTTCTCCAACCCCCAGATGCTGCCAGCAGCATTCCGTGAGTCTCGGTGTTACTGCACCCGTTGGCACTCGGTGTCTCTGATCTGGCTGCGCGAGGGTGTTCCATCCAGAGTGGATGCTTCATATTGTTTATGGAAGCGCAAGGAACACTGTTGTCTTGCTTTGTTGTTGTCAAGCCAGCACCTAAATGAAGGCCAGAAGGCAACACCAAAACATGAGAAAGCCAACTCAGCATTTTTTTCTGTAGAGCATCTCTAGGGTAAGCTCACAGGCCTTCTTAATGTCCTTACCTGGCCTGTTACTACAGCTACTAAGAAGAAACCAAACCCATTTTCATCTGTGAATGTGAAAGGCCTGTGTTTTTGGACTGGGCCATGTTCATTACTTTGGGGGGATTTCTACTGTGTAAAACTGGAGTAACCTAATTTGGCAGCACATTTGTCTTTGAACACATTATTAACTCAAACTCTTTATTCAAATATAGATGAATCTAGTCGGGAATGATTTCAGCCGTTTGTGTAGTTACTTCAGCTTTTCCTTCCACAACTGTGACTTTCCACAGTGGCTTCATTCAATGGGAAGGATGAGACAACAGGGAACTGTGTGGATTCTAAGACAGAACACTTAGAATTTGTCCCAAGATTGTACAAGACTGAGGTCCCCCTACCCAGAAGGGTGGAATTAAAACTTTTTTTGAAGCCCTGTGTGCCAAAAGGGAATTCCCCAAGTCAACTAAACCCACAGGGATCTGGGAAGGAGTGAAGTCGCTTCTGTTCTCAAAAAGGTGAAAAGTGACTTTGGAGAAAGGGAGCTTTGTAAAAGGTGCTGCCTGCGAACACAGTGACTTGATACCCTTTGGAGTATGCACTAGACTGTGACCTGCTGCTTTTTTTGGTGCTTTGGCATTCACATAATCATAAATCTTTCTCACAGTAGTACAAGTCATTTGTATTTCTCTGTTAAGCTCTTCGGAATATAAACTTACTGCAATATCATTATGATCCAGAATTTAAATGAAATGTATAGGTATTTTGTGTGCCATTTACCTGACTCTGGGATATCTGCTCTAGAGTAAAACAAATTGCATTCCACAGATACCTGTTTCGCTCATGGTCTCCAAAGAGATTTGCACCAGTAGCAGTGCTGAGTCCTGCTGGCCTGCTTAAAATTGCTACCAGAGATGTTAATATAATGTAGCAGCAGTTGTAGAAAATTTTGAGAGTCCTCGTTTAAGAGTGCCAGTTGCTTTAAATCCTCTAGCTGATTTAAATGAGCAGTGAATTCACAACATCAGTCATGGTCGGTTCTTTAGGTTATTTTTTAATGCATTTCATGCATAAATGCCTGTCTTATTTTTGTTGTCTAGATCACGCAAGAAATTTCTGATAATACAAGGATATTCAGGCTTCTGGGATCTGACAGGTATGAAAAGAACTGGACGGAGCATGTTAAAATAGAAGAATAATCTGTTATCTTTTCCTCCTAACTTTTCAAAGTATTTTTGCTTGTTTCTTGTGATTCCTTCTGTAGCCCTTGCCCATTTCCTTTTGCATGCACAAATGCCTGTCAGTCCCTTAGCTTTACTTCTTTTCCTTCTGAAGGAGTAGGAATATTGCTTGTGGGCTTCCCAAAGGGACTCTACCTCAGTAGTAGGCCCATATTTGGCTGCAATCACAAGTCTCCAGGAATATCTTCCTTTTTGCACTGCAGTTCTTGCCTTCGGTTTGGTTAAAAATCCTCACTTTTCAGATGCTCTGCTGCAGCAGCCCAGCAGGAGGCAGATCCCTTGTGGCAAATGCAGAAAATACATAAGAATGTAAATATCATGCATCTTCCCCTAAAAGGGGCTCTAACTGTTGTCCTCCCAACAAGATAGCCCGTGTGTTCCAGGGCCCTTCGTTCCCAGTCCCCATTGTAGCTGTTCTCCAGTGTCTTTGCAGCACTGTTAACGCTGTGCCTCTGTCCCACACGTCTCACACCAGCTTGCTCAGTCAGTCATCGCTATTTTAGGAGCATCACTGACTTCCTCAACTTTCTCTGCCCTGTTGTCGAACTTTGTACTTCTCTAACAGCTGTGAGACAGCAGATGTTCTGTCCTCTGGGGAGCACGTGCTGATGTGACAGCTTCACCAGCAGCGTATTCGTACACAGTGCAAAGACAGACTCGTTTTTCTGCTGAGAATTGCTGTTTTGTGCCTCTTAGAGGGATTCTTACCTTTGTGTGGCATTGCAGAACCACTGAGAAGCTTCACATCAATCAGAGCCTAGAAATTCCCCCCATCTGCTTGTCTAAGCTCGATGCGCAGCCCTGTAATTGCCCTTAACATCTACAGTATTGAATAGCACCATGGCTTTACGAGCCAGCAACCTCACAGCTGGTTTTGCTGACCACAGGTTGGGGATTCTGCCTTATGGGGACCATCTCATAGCTTTTGGTAACTAAGAGCAAAACTTGAATTTATCCAAATTGAATGCATGTAACGTAATGCAAATGTAACTAACTGCATTCATTGCTGATGTCTCTGCCAGGAAGGTGTGTGTGGAGCTCAGCTTCATTACACTGTTTCTCTTAGTTGTGGACTGAGAGTGCAGTTCAATTTAAAAACAAGTCGGGCTTCAGAAGGGAATATCACATTGCAGCTCATTGCCTTGGAAAAAAATACATTTTTCGCAAATTACTGGACCGTATTTCCAGCTCATGTTGATGTTCTTCTAAATTTGAGACCAGGGTGGAAGCCTTTGCACTGCAATAGATACCAATTCCAAACTCTTCGGACATCGTTTGGCTTGCAGGACTGTCATATTTCATACTTTATCTTTGAAACCTTCCCCAGCAATACCTGCCCATAGGAACTGGGGCTCTGAGAAGCCAAAGCGCTGATGTCGGGGTGATGAGAACTCCCTTCCTGCTTGCTCTCAGTGAGCAGGGAATGCCCTGTGGTCTGGGGCGGCATTTCTTTTCAGAGCATTTGCAGCAGAGAGGCTGGGTTTTCTGAGCATTAGTTTTAAAGCAAGCAGCCTCTTCCTGGTTGGATTCTGAATAGTTGGATTTGAATTTCCCACATTTTCTACCTTTGCTCTTTAGTGTTTGTGTGGCAGAATTTGGTCAGGAACAGCCAACAGATACCAGCAATTTATATATCCTGATCAATTCAGCAGTTTCAGTGCTAGTTAAACACCTTGAATAGGCTGTGAAACTGAGTTGTGATTGTCTTTGAAGGGTATGGTCTGACCTAGGATATTCTTTATGGTCTTTCCAGTTGTAGTGAAGACACAGCTAACCCAGTTTCCAGTCTCCAATGCTGGTCAAAAGTCCATGCCAGGAAAAAAGTATGAGAGAAAATAACATACATGGCAATCCTTCCCTTGGAGCCTGTCTCAGCCTCCAAGACTTTGTGTCTCTGAGCCTTTGAGAGCTCGAGGAAGTTTCCGTGGATTTGGTGATCCATCACTGGACTATGTGGACTCAGGGAGAAACTCAGAGTTGAATGTTAGGGTCTGTCATGTCCAGTGGCCAAGGATGGGTGAGGTGACCAGCTCTCCCCTACCGCAGACTCACACATGGTTGAGGTTGGAAGGGGCCTCTGGAGATCACCCAGTCCAACCCCCTGCTCCAGCAGGGACACCCAGAGCACGGGGCACAGGGCGGCATCCAGGCGGGTTGGAAGATCTCCAGAGAAGGAGCCTCCACAGCCTCTGGGCAGCCTGTGCCAGGGCTCTGGCACCCTCACAGGAAAGAAGTTCTTCCTCACATGGAGATGGAACTGCCTGGGTTTCAGTGTCCATGTGCTTGCCTTCACAGAGTGCTCAGGATGACTAAAATGATCCTTTATTTTTGTCTTCTGAGAGTGGTCTGAATGTAGCTCTTCCAGTGCGCAGTGCTGAGTGTGGGGCGAAATACCTGACCAAGCCTTGTCACAAGTTTTCCTTGGAGAGGTCCAGTGTGCCCTATGCCCAGGTCTTGCACAACACAGCAGCTGCAGTTTTCTTCTCACCACATCTGGCAGCAAGTCGAAACATGGGCTGTGTGTAACTTGAGGCCGCTAAAAGAAGCCTCTGTCGTAACAACTTCCTGCACCTCTCGCTGGGCATGCCGCCTGCAAGAGGGAAGGGGGTGACTTTCCCACCTTTTCAGTGAAAGCCTGATGTCCTCCAGGGCTGCCCCATGACGGCCCGGTGAGCTCTGTGTAGCTCCAGGGAAACATGAGCCCGAGCAGCAGGCTGGGGTGGGTGTGCATCCTTCTCCAGTGCCTGCTGAAAGGTGTGGACGAGAGGCAGGAAGCGTTGGGAGCAGTGAGGAGGTTTCAGACAGGTAGGAGTGGGGAGGGTATCACTGCAGGGGGGTGCTCAGGCACTCAACTAGCAGCCCAAAGAGGCTCTGGAGATCTTGGAGAGGACTCTGATGGCTGCCTTGAGATTGCCCCTGCTTT